GAACACACTCAGACCATAATCCGGTGGGTTTTGTTAGCTCGGCGGGGGAGGCTCCAGCCAGAAACAGTAGGCCCTTTAGGTTTGAAGCGGCTTGGTTGACTCACGACGATTACAAAAACATTTGGAAACAGGCCTGGATCAATCGGCAACAAGATGTGATTGGGGCCATAGACGAGGTGACTAAACTTACCAAAAAGTGGAATGTGGAAACTTTTGGGAACATTTTCAAACGCAAACGTTCTCTTCAGGCCAGGATTCTTGGCATCTAAACCTCCCCTTGGTACAGTTCATCACGAGGGCTCCAAGCCCTAGAGCGTAAGCTTCTTGCTGACCTTAACAGAACTCTGGAACAGGAAGAACTCCTTTGGTTTCAGAAATCCAGAAAGGCGTGGGTTCAGGACGGGGATAGGAACACCAAGTTCTATCACACGTCAACGGTGATCAGGCGTAATAGGGGCAGGACCAGGGCTCTTAAACTCAATGGCGAGTGGAACTCCGATCCCAAAACCCTTGCTGACCACATTACTCATTTCTTTTCCAATCTCTTTGATAGGTCCGCTGGAATGGGTGCTATTGCCACCGAGACTCATAATGGTAAAAGGATCTCTCAGGCCGAGGCTGATGATCTGATCAAGAGTGCCACCTTAGATGAAGTAAGGAAGGCCGTCTTTGGCATGAAAAGATTGGGGAGTCCTGGCCCGGATGGGATACAAGCTGCTTTTTACCAAGATTTCTGGGATGAGGTAGGTGGTCCTATCACTAATATGGTTAATGACGCTCTGGTTACAGGTACGGTTCCGGTTGCTATGCTTGAAGCCTTTGTTACCCTTATCCCTAAAAAGGATAATCCTGAATCTGGTGCAGACTTTCGTCCAATTACTCTCCTTAATGTTATTTTCAAAATCATATCCAAAGTCATTGTCAACAGGATGAGACCTCTTATGGACAATCTCATTGGGCCTCACCAGAACAGCTTTCTTCCGGGAAGATCCACCTTAGATAATGTTGTGCTCACTCAAGAGCTGATCCATTCCATGCATAAGAAAAAGGGCAAAAAGGGCTCCCTTGTGATGAAAATTGATCTTCACAAAGCTTATGATAGCATAGACTGGGACTTCCTTAAACAGGTTCTTGTTGATTTTGGTTTCCCTCTAAGGCTGATCAATCTGATCATTTTCTCTCTCCGGGAGAGCAGTATAGGGGTCCTTTGGAATGGAGGTAAGCTTCCTTTCTTTAAACCTGGTAGGGGTCTTAGACAGGGAGACCCTCTCGCACCCTATCTCTTTATTCTTGCTATGGAAAAGCTCTCTTATATTATCCATACTGAAATGCTTTCAAAGGCTTGGAAGCTGGTGCATATCTCTAAAGGGGGCACTAGTGTGTCCCATCTTTTCTTTGCAGATGATCTCCTTTTATTCGGGGAAGCCTCGGAGCCCCAAATAAATATCATGATGGATTGCTTAAATAGGTTCTCAAACTGGTCAGGTTTAAGCATCAACTTTTCTAAGTCTCTGATCTTCTGCTCCCCCAATACGCCTAACAGAATCAAGAATCTGATGGGGTCTATAACCAACATACCGGTCACAGAAAACCTTGGGAAATATCTGGGCATTCCTATCCTCCACAAGAGAGTAACAAAACACAACTTCACGTACATCCTTGACAAGATGAGAGCAAGACTTTCTAACTGGAAAATGGATTCTCTAAGCCTTGCAGGTAGAAGAGTACTGGTTCAATCAGCCCTCGCAACCATTCCGGTCTACACCATGCAAACTCTTGCCTTGCCTAAAGGTACGTGTAACGATATTGACAGGCTTTGCAGGGACTTTTTGTGGGGATCATCAGAGTCTAAAAGAAAGATCCATCTAGTCAACTGGAATCAAGTCTGTAAACCCCGAGAGATAGGGGGGCTGGGGCTCAGAATGGCCAGAGACTTTAACTTAGCTCTCCTGGCAAAGCTGGCTTGGCAAACCATACACAACCCGGAGAAACTTTGGGTTCAAGCCATCAGAAATAAATACCTTCGTAACAATAACTTCTTTACTGCTCCCATTCCCAATCAAGCTTCGTGGGGTTGGAGAAGCATCATCAAGGGCCGATCTATCGTAGAGATTGGGGCCAAGTGGAAAGTAGGTAATGGTGAATCCTTGGACTTCTGGTCGGATTGGTGGGTAACCAACAAACCCCTCGGGCTCATGATGGAGATAGACATACCGGATGATTGTGCCAACTCAAAGGTAAAGGACTTCATTCTTCCCAACCGTACTTGGAACTTCAACGCACTAAGCAGCTGCCTGCCTGAACATACGGTGAATGCCATCCGCACTATCCCGATCCCGATTCATGTAGATACTCCGGACACCCTTTGCTGGCCAGACAACAACTCAGGTATTTTCTCTGTCTCCTCTGCCTTCTCCCTTATTGCAGGTTCTGAAGGTGACGACTCAAACTGGAGGTGGCTATGGAAGATTACATGTGCTGAAAAGGTTAAAACTTTCCTCTGGCTCCTATGCAACAACAAACTGCTTACAAATGACGAAAGGATGAGACGCTCACTGACCGACGACAACACTTGCCCATGGTGCATTGGCGAGGTGGAATCTACGTCCCATATCTTTCGGGACTGTCCGTTTGCAGCAGACGTCTGGAGGCAGGCCTCGCCGAAGAGAGAGACCAGAGGGCACAACTTCTTGCCGACAACTGACTGGGTGCACTTAAACTGCAACAACAACTACCTGATGCCTTCAGGACATTCATGGGTGTCACTGTTTGTTTACGTGCTATGGGGGATCTGGATAGCCCGTAACAATTTTATCTTCAACGCCAAAACTTCTAGTCCCTACCAGGTGGCAACTATGGCACGGGATTATGCATACGAAGCCCATAATCTGCTGTCCAAACGCAAAGGAGTGGCGCGAGGGTGCTGGGATTGGATCACGTGGAAGCCGCCTGATCCGGGATGGAGTAAACTCAATACCGACGGTGCAATGAAATCCGCAAGTGGGCTGGCCAGTGCAGGAGGGGTTATTAGAGACGACCTCGGAGCTTGGGTCAAGGGTTTTGTGACGAAAGTTGGGTTGACGGACAGTTTCTCAGCTGAGCTGTGGGGCCTAAGGGAGGGTTTACGGCTTTGTCTGAGTGAAGGGATAGGTAATCTATGGGTTGAAATGGACTCAGCTTCGGCGGTCGCCATCATGAACAAAGACTTTAATGATACTAGTCCAATGGGTGCTCTCACTAAAGACTGCTTGGACCTTGCTCGGTGCTTCACCAACTTTCGGATATCCCACATTAGACGGGAAGGGAATAAATGTGCCGACTGGCTTGCGAACTTGGGTCAAACTGCCGACTGGGGGACGACTCTCCTGGATCATGCCCCGGATGGTCTGCGGTACCTTCTCCAAGCTGATTTGAGAAACATGCCTAACCTCCGGGTTAGATAGTCGCTCTCGTTGAGGGCTCTTAACGCACCAAAAAAAAAATAGAGTTAATGCAATTTTTTGTCGTAGGCTTATTAGAGCATGGACGCTTTTCATCCTCCATAATAAAAATTGCCAATTAGTAGCCACTGTTATTGGTCGTTGGACACTTTTGGTCCTCCGTCTAAATTTCTGTTTGTTGACCCTCTAAATGAGGGGCATTTTTGTCAATTTAGCTTATTCTTTTGATCCTATGCATAAACGAAGCTATTTTGCACGTCGCTCACTAACGAAGAGGTTTAGAAACGAGAATGGAATCGAAGCAAAAGCGAGGTTGAGAAGAGAGAGTGGTCGCTCACTGCAAGTTGGATCTCTAAAAGCGATTTTGGTTCGCGAAGTGGACACCAGAGAGGGGAGGCAACAGAGATTCTCCAATGTCGTAGCCCTAGACTCGGCAACCATCAGGCGAACTTGGCCGAGCGTGGCCAAAGTCAAAGTAGAAATTGATGCCTCTAAACCTTTGATTGATCGAGTTTGGGTGGAAATTGTTGGAGGTGAAGGGGATTTGAATGGATTTTGGCAAAGGATTGAGGTGGAGAAAGTGTCGGCATATTGCCCCAGTTGTGGTCGATTTGGTCATGCTATGGCTATGGCAGAGTGTCGAAGGATGAGTCCAGAAGAAGAAGGCGATGGGAGGAGACCAGAGGTGGAGGAGACAATGGAGTTGGATGCGGTCGAGGACGACGCGGTGGTTGATAGCGGTGGAGGGCAAGTTGTCGATGAGGGCAATCCTTCGTCAATGGCGACTCTGCCGGCGATTGGGCCACTGCATGGACAATCAGAGGGCTTGGATGGTGTTGGGAAGGCATCGAGGTCATTCGCAAACTATCGAATTGTTGATCGGAGGGCTTCTGCGCTGGCCGATAGTTCGATCTCACCTTCGTTAATGGAGGATTTGTCGGCGTTCTGGCGCTTGCATGGTCGATCAGATGGTTTGGATGGGGTTGGGGATGTGCGGAGACCTCTCGTCGCTTGTCTGATTGATGATCGGGGACCTCCGGGTTCCTCGGAATTTAACACACAGCCGGCCACCGCCCGATCAATTCCTACGACGGTGTATCCGGAACCACGTGGAAGAAGAAGTCCAAGCAGGGGTTGCATGAGAAGAGGAATGTGGTAGAGCAATTATCGGTGAAGCCCATCAAAGGGCTCGGGTTGAGCTTAATCCCCTGTGCTTTGGTAGATAAATCGGTGACATGGGTATCGATGGGTGGAGTGTTGGTTTCGCCATCGTTATCGGCGACGGAGGGAAGCTGCGCACGATCGTTCTCAGGTGGACCGAGGAGTTTAATGGGAGCCATTAGGGGTGCGATTAGGATGAGAGTGAGAAAAGAAGAATTGTGGGTGGCGCATCCCCTTACCCTACACAATGTTCACAATGTTCAAAATACACAAGAACTAACCACCAAGCCTAAATACTTCAATGAACAATTGCAATCACCAAGTCTAAATATTCACAAAGTTCTAATCAAAAGCATACCTACTCTATATAACATGATACACAATCTGCAATTCAGAACTCACTAGATCAATATCCATTTTGTCGTAATCAGCTTGGTTGAACTACATGTCAAAAGTATATGAATAGTAAATATATAAGTACTCAGCATAACCACAATATGGTCAATTGAATTTTATAAAATTAAATGAAATAATAAAAAATGGTGATAAAAATCTTACCAGTGCTTGAACAGATTTTTTATTATCAATGTTTGGCATATGCTCAATTAAAGTTCTCATGTAAGCCATGACATAGAAATCACATTGGTTACTATCCGGTTGACGAGAAGCCTATACATGTTAAATAATATTTGTGCATTAACAATTTATCTAGATATATAGATATACAAACACTTATATATATACTTAGTTAAAAATCTTAAATTACTTTGACAATTTCCCAAAAAATTTTACCTCATAATTCTATAGGAAAAAGAATAAGGTGAGAATAAAATAGAAATTCAAATTATGATCTATTATTTGGTAGACAGGAATATAATTACTGGGAATTGAGATGGAAGAAATGAATAAAAACTAAAATTCCTTTGTCTAAAATTTTCTTGTGTACTAAAATCCTCAACCATTGATGAACTTTGATGACCGGAATTAATCTTCACTTTAATTTTTACCGGAGGAGGCTATTCTCATTTAATCCTGTCCCTATGTGTGTGTCTATATATATATATATATATATATATATATAAAGGCACGTCCTCATTTTAGTTTGATATATAATTCAATTACAAAGTATTACTATAATTCAATCATTCGTCTTAATCCCAAATTAGTTAATGGATCCAGTGCAGATGGGCGAGGTATGAATCAAGAGGGAAATACGACATGACACAAGTGTAGAGGATATGTGAGATTACAAAACATGCTTTGCTATTTCTGGATCACTTATGCACCATTGTCAAACTGTAAAAACAACACACCTTAAGAAGGAAAACAACGCCCTTAAGAAGGAAAACAAAGTACCTTAATAAGAAAAATAATGCACCTTAATAAGGAAAACAACGCATCTAAAGCTTTAGACCTACGCACCTTAAAAAGGAAAACAATGCACTTTAAGAAGGAAAACCACGCACATAAAGCTTTAGGCTAACGCACCTTAAGTTTCAACAACTGGCGCACCTTAAGCACACAAACCATGCACCTTAAGAAGGAAAACCATGCACATAATTAAAGCTTTAGACTGACACACTTAAGTTTCAACAACTGACACACATTAAGCACACAACACAAAAACCACGCACCTTAAGCACAAAAACCGCGCATCTTAAATTTGACCTAGATGCAAAAAGACCAAATTGCCACCGTGTTTTTTTTAATTCTTGTTAATCCTAGACGTTGATCTTGGCAAGATCAATGGTTCTCATCTTACAGCACGTTCGCACCTTAACACACCATCTGCATTTGAACCGTGTATATATATATATATATAGGAAATGCACAACAAAAAAAAAACATTATTAGATACGCATCACTAGAAACACATTATTAGGTATGCATAAAAGCACCACACAGAGTTCAGAAAAGCACAATTATTTTGGGGGGGGGGGGGGGGGGGGGTTGTTATGGTGCATTATTTTGAGTGTGTTCTGCGTTTTATGGTGTATTTGTGCATTTAATTTTTGTGTATTTTTTTAACACTATTGGTGTCTTTTTCAAGCGGTCGCACTGACCACACGGAAAGGTGCGGCTGCATTTGAGCAAAAGTATATATATATATATATATATATATATATATATATATATATATATATATATATATATATATATATATATATATATATATAATTAGGTTCAAATGCGGTTGTGCGGTTAAATCTGAGCCATTGATCTTGCTTAAATCAACGATCAGGATTACCAAAAAATAAATAAATAAATAAATAAAACGCGGCTGCAATTTGGTAATTTTTGCATCTAGGTCAAATTTAAGGTGCGTGATTTTTCTTCATAAGGTGCGTGGTTTTTGTGCTTAAAGTGCGTGAGTTTTGTGCTTAATGTACGTGGGTAATGGGCTTAATGTGAGTATTTGTTGAAACTTAAGCTACGTGGTTTTCCTTCTTAAGGTGCGTGGTTTTTGTGCTTAAGGTGCATGGGTTTTGTGTTTAAGGTGCGTTAGTTTTGTGCTTAGCGTAAATAGTTGTTGCACTTGTAGGTGAAAGTAGGTGCACTCAGATCAATGAATATTAACAAGGCAAAATTACATGCACTTTCAGGCGAAAGTAAATGCACTTGTAGGTGAAAGTAGGTGCACCCGATCAATAAATGCAGGCAAAAACTACATGCACTTGCAGACGAAAGTAGGTGCACTTGTAGGTGAAAGTAGGTGCACCCCATCAATGAATGCTGACACGTGGCGCGTGCTGATTGGTTCGCATTTCTCTCCTGAACACCTATTCGCACCTGAACGCGACCCTATATATGTATATATATATATATATATATATATATATATATATATATATATATATATATATATATATATATATATATATATATATATATATATATATATATATATATATATATATATATTGTAAATATTTTTGTTGGAAGATTAATACCATGATTACAACACAGAATCGCACACCAATTAACCCATCTATGATAAACTAACGGCCTCTATATACTTACGATCATGCATGATGCCACACTAAAAAAATAGTAAAACTCTTTAATACTTTAATTTTAAAAAAAAAAATAACAAAAAAAAAACAAAAAAACAAAAAACAAAAAAAAACAAACAAACAAACTTTGAAGAACAAAACCATATTTAAAGTAATGTGAAATGGGGAAATATGTTTAAAATAAATAGAACACGGTATTATTGTGGCCTCAAGTTTTGATTTGGCGCAAATTATTCCGTGGAACTAGGTCCGCCTTGTAAGGTGGATTCTGGTCCAAATATTAACAATTTACCTTTTAAAAAATTACAATTTGTATACTACAAACACACAATGTTAACATATATGTAATTGATTATCTTATTTTATATTCACAAGTTCCTTTCAAATACAACAGTCATACAATATTAATAGATTAGGATTTGATGAGCTTGTATTGTATTCACAAATTTTCTCATACAGTTGTTATATGTTTTGATTTAAAAACACAATTTATATTCTAGAAATTCATAATTCGAATATTAAAAATACACAATTTATACGTCGTGTAGGATCAAGTTCCACCTTCTCCATATATGATATATGTATAACAACTCTTGATTTGTATGGAATGTTGTGAAATGGTCGTTTTAAACTTTAAAGTGACAAAAATCCTTTTCCTTCCTTTTTAAAACTTTTTCTATCTTTGGTTCTTTTGGTTTCCGAATTCGTTTATTCCTATCTGATTGCCTGCCAGCCTTTTTTGTTTTTTGTTTTTCTTTTTCAACTGATTAAACATTTTTCAAAAGCAGATTTTAAAGCACAGATCTAGTAAATATTCTTCCCACTTTCCCAGCTCGGCGAGGCGTTGGAGCTCCAATGGAGATACTGCGCGTTAATAAAGGAATAAATTTCAATATTTCAAAAAAAAAAAAAAATTATCCTAGAAATAGAGTATCGATTGAGTTCATTTTTTTAGTACTACTTTATTACAACAAGATAGTATATGTTTTATACTTCCAGTCAATACCCCACCACTCGGATTCGATTCTGTGACTTTCCCTCAAGGGGAACACAAGGTGTTTGGCTTATATTAGTTCATTTAACTCACATATTATTTGATGGTTAAAAGGGAACTCTTCTTACTGAGATTAAGTCTTAAATAATTTTGGGATAAGGTTAAATAGGTCCTTCAACTATAGGTCAAAGTGAAATTAGCCCCTAAATTAAGAAAAGTTCCAATTAGACACTTCATCTCTTCACTTTTATGCAATTTAGCCAATAACTTTTTAAAGTTGTGCAATTAACTTCTTTTGCAGGTAAATTCAAGGTAATAGCAAGTAAAATTGAATTTTTCAAAAAGTAATTTAAAAATAAACTTTTAACATTTTTAAAAAAAAATAAAGATTGACGACTTCTCCTTTGAGGAGAAACCGGCAATCCGGTATCTTCGTCCAGTTGGACGGAGAAGCCATGGCAAGCCTCGTCCAGTTGGACGAAGAATTAAGCCATGGGCTGGCTTTTCCATCCAACTGAACGGAGGAGCCAAGCAGGTTTCTCCGTCCGGTTCGACATGGAAGTCGTCGTAGTTTTTTTTTTTTTTTTTTTGAATTAAAAATATATTTTTTTTTAAATTTTAATTATTTTTAAAATTTAAAAAAATTTACCCGTTACCTAGAGGTAACCTGTTAACTAAATTAATTATATAAAAATAAGAAGTTAAAGTGACTAATTGAAAGTTTTTTTTAGAAGACTAATTGCATTTTGGCATATCGTTAAAAGGGCCTATTTGACCCTTGTCTTAATACTTTTTAAATATAAAGTATTTTTTTTTGAAAGGAAATATAAAGTATTTTAGTCATTATGTATAGAGGATTTTTTGTTGTTTTAAGTGAAAACTATAATGGTATTATTTTTAAGTTTTAATACCATGATTGGCAATTATATATCTTTGTTATTTTAAAGTTGTAATCTTCAGGAGAAAAACACATGTTTCGATCCAACTCTATTTAGGGAGCTTTCCCAATGCCTATTTCTATAACTCTTGTTCTTCTTTTTTTTTTTTTTTTTTTTTTAATAATATTTCACTTTTTTAGTTAGTAAAGAATAATGGTATTTTTTCCTTGATTTTACATTATAATGTTCACTTCTTAACATGGTATAAAATTATAAGCTCAATTAAAAGAACTCGTGACTCCCTACTAAAAATTAAAAAAAAAAAAAAATAAAGGAACTCGTGACTATTCAAATACGAGAATCATACTCCACTCACTTGACTGCCCCTAGTAAGAATTTACTTAATAATCAAATATTGACATTTAAAAAGATGAAAATTAAGATGTGAAGTTAAGAGTAATGTAGCATTACTGTTAATAACAACAACAACAACAACAACAATAATAATAATAATAAGGGAAAATGACACTTTTTCCCCCTGTGTTATATGTTTATAGCACTTTTTCCCCCTGAGTTATTCATGCATTCACATTTGCCCCCTCAATTATTATAAAAGTGGTGGTTTTTCCCCGTGATAATATTAAATAGACATTTCTACCCTTAAAACAAATATTTTATTTTTTTCTCTTCTTCACCAAATTATTACTTATACGTAGGGATGACCACGGTTCGGTTCGAACTGAACCAAACACTATAGCAATCAAATTAAAAAATTTCGATTATGATTCATAACATAACCCAATATTTGGGTTTCCGTTTATTAAAATCGTGAACTGGAAAAAAATGGATCCTGAACCGTGAACCGGAGGTTCAAATCGGAACAACTACTAGCAATAGCTTAAATTAGAA